AAAGTGAGTGTTATGCTGAGATTTGTTATCATTGACTCTGGAAATACAGTTAATTGCTGAATCTAAAAGTAACTAGAACTGAGCAATTCGTTTTATTTCAATTCCAAAGCCCAAAGGCATAGCAATAATAAGTTAGATCTAGATCTAGCAGTTGTAGGCTCTCTGGCTGCTTCTAGCATAGGCCTGCTACTACTGATTCTAGACAGGGAATCTAGATCTTGCTATCGCCTGCACTATTAAAGTCAAATATATGGTAAAATAAAAACAAAACTGAATTTTTTGTCAGTCAGTACATCCCAATTGCCATAGCCGCATGTATTAATAGTTGAATAATGCGATACCGAAGCAACACGTTATCACAGTGTGCAGGGGAGAGCGAGGTGCCCGGTCGATTCGGTGGTTCGGCTTTTGTAGATCTATGCATTTTTTACGGAAAGCCCTATTACCTAACCCTATTACTAGATCTATTAGTGTTGTGAAAACTTCAACCTCTACAGCTCAGGCGTTAAAAGATGCTGGAAAATAATACGTCCTGAAGTTTCATAATTTATTTTTATAAAGAACAACACACTACACAGCCAGTAGTTTTTATTTCATCGAGTTATAAAAATGGCCTTCGTATAAAAATTGCCTTGTTTTCAGAAGCAAATTTTAATATTTCTAGTTCTACCGAATCGATTTTCACACGAATTCAACCATTTTGATGATCTTTCTTTTTCTTTTAAAAAGATGTAGATCTAGGCCTGTCAGATGTGGCAGTGCGAATAACACTGAGTTGTTTAGATCTAGATCTAGACCCATCAAAACACGAGGCTTCGTGGCCGATCACAAAAGTCTACGGGGCTTATCGAGGCCGATTCGCCCTGCTGCGAGCACGTTCACTAAACTGCCTACTAGATAAAATCTACTACCAAATATTCTCTACACGATCTTTGCTACTGCTACTACTAGGCCTACTAGCCTACATGTACTACTACGAGAGAGTGTCACTCAGGCAAAGATAGTGTAACTTTGACTCAGCCACGTAATGTACACACTTTTTATACCCCAAATTTAACCTGGAAGTCCATTCGGAGGATTTGACCTTTTCACTTGATCAAAGTGTTCAAAAATGGTAGCCTAGCTTTTGCCCCTCCATGAAGGAAAAATCTGGCCCTCATTCAAACCATTGGGATTGAGCAAAATTTTGCGTATTGTGCTTTGTTCTTTACAATATTCATTATGGTTATGATTTATAAGTTGTACACTGAGACAAAACCGTACTAAATGAGAAAGGTGCACCATTAAGAAAGTGGAACGAACTCAGTTGCCTGAAAAGGGTAGTTTGAGCATGTGTGGCCTATATAAGCTAAACATCCCTCCCTTACCTTATTTAGGCCACAGTCCACTGTGGGCTAAATAAGCTAAACCCCCCTCCCTTACCTTATTTAGGCCATATGTGGCCTAAATAAGCACTCCCAAAATTCAATTATTTTACTACTGTCCTTGTTTATTGTTTCAATCACCACTACGACTTACTTCAGTAGAGTCCACTTTTACTTTTAACGAGTCTTGAAATAACTAAAAGTCTTATAAAGACACTATTCTAAAACTCTGGGGGGGTTTTCTTCTTTATCTTAGTAAATTAAATGTGACAAACACGCGAGTCGGTTATACAGAATATTGCTGCTGCTGTGCACAGCGCATACTATCTGGCCCTCTAGGAAATCGCGATCTTGCGGCCGCGTTTTTCGTCGAGTCCCGAATAAAGCTGCAATTTTTCGCAATTTCTTACAGTTTTAGGCAAAATAACACTAACGCTCTAATTTTAACAGAATTTTTAATTCGAAATGGCGCGAGTACAGAGCCGATAGGCCGACGTAAATCATGGTTTCGGCCCAGCTCTTGTCTACTGCGCGTACTCTGAAAGCTATTAAAACCGGAAATTCAGGCTGGAATACATCACTTACAACACAAACTGAGACATAGATCTAATGTGTGTAAGCGTGCGCGTGTGATCAGAAAGTAGGAGTGTGTGTGGTATGCATGTGTGTGCGCGTATAAGGTGTACGTGTGCGTGTGTGTGTGTCGTGCGCGCGCGCGCGTGAATATTGTTCGTACATGATGCACGTGTCTACATACACGGTGCCAGGGCACTTAGTCTCAGTATCTACGTACACAGTAACCGGAATGAAAATAAATCAATATTTGTCCTGTGCTGTCACTTGTTGAAAAAAAAAAAAAAAGGAAGTCATACACATTCATGTACAAGTACAAGCGTCTTGTGGGGCTCGCCATCGTGACCGGTCAGTGAACCTGTGCGTGCGCATCACATTGTGAGTACCGGTTGGGGTCACCAAAGTTCATTCAAAGTCTGTGCGCTGCGAAATTTATGCCCCCCAAAAGGGGGGGGGGGGGGGGGGGGGGGGGGTATTGATTTTTTTTAAAAGGTCGGGAGAGGGCTGGGATTGAAGGCAACACCGGATGACAAAAATTGAACTTAGATTCTGAACAACTGCCCGGTTACCGAGTACGTGCCGACACTGAGATTATTACGCGCCCGGTTGCCGGTTACCGTGTACGTAGACACTCAATAAATGTAAAACGCCTTATTGCTGTGCGTTCACACGGGAGTGGTCGCTATAGAAATGATCTACATTGTTATCACTATTAAAAAAGGAGAAAAAATTTGCTGTATTTTACGATTTGACTTAGAGTTAAAACAATACTATACTGGTTTAAAAAAAGAAAACATCTGAAATAGATCGGAATACTAATTACCGGTGTATCGAAAGTAGGCCTATCAAGAGAAAAATAGAATATGATCTGAATTGATTGGGGCTTAAGCTAATTTTGCAATTTAGAGGTTGTTCGAATCTCCCATCTTTTTTTTTTATAGACTGAAACTCATACTTAACTTCTAGATCTTTGCATGAACCAAGTACCCGGTAACTAAATTTGGTCAATGTTATGCCTTCATTTAAAAGTTATTACGAAAACCGAGGGTTCCGTTATTTTGGGTCACGCGGTATTATATTTGGTCGATAACTTTATTGTTAACGTACTCGTGTGTTGTTACTAGTACTAGTAAATGTTGTAAATAAAATTTGTACTGTGAATCATGATTTTTTAAAAGGCTGTTCTCCTTTTATGCTACCGGTACTCAAATTGTCTTGTTTTTTAAACTAAAAATGTTAAGCCCGTATTAATGCGCCTGAGATGGGAAGGTTGCAATTTTTAGGCAGTTTGCCTTGCAATTTTTTGCAATTTTTCAATTTCAAAAATGCAATTTTCCGCGGGGCCAGGACGGTTTGCCAATACATGTATTGTAAAACCTCGCCAGTTGAGAAACTTGGTGATCTAGCGAGTCAAAGAATGGGAGAGCTCACGTGTGCCTACAACACAAAATTCTACACTTAAGTGTAGAATTCTGTGGCCTACAATGAAGGCCGGAGCGAATGAGGGGGGAGGATGGGGCATGCGCAGACAAGCAGAACGCATCGCGTGATAGACCAGCCTGGTCTAGATTATCTAGGCCCACCATGCCTCTCACTTCTCCGATGGGCGGATGGAGAGGTCAGTGCCGTGACTGTGGTGGATGGAGCAAATGTGTGACGTGGGCAGGGTGTGGTGTGTACCCAATGTGCTCAAGCAGACGGAACGCACACCCAAGGTGTGTTGGGTGAGGGACAACACAGCGGGCATCGTCAGGGGAGATAACAAAAGAAATAAACAGACCACCTAACTCATCATAGATTAGGCCTACTTTACTACTGAGTACCTTATAACATTAATCCTGCTATAACGGCGTTTTCGCACCAGTCCCCTCCTCGTTATTACAGGATTTCACTGTGATCACGCTTCCCTCACCACCTGTTGAAATTGTTAGGCCTACTCATCTGTCAACTTGGGTAAACTTTCACTGGAAGGACTAACAATAACGACAGGTGAAAGGATTATGACGGCCCGGCCCCAGCCTGAGGGGCCGATTCAAAATTTATGGCAAAGCATTGGGCAATGTGAGACCACGCCATTTCCCCCCTTTCTTTCTTTTGTATGTGTGTGTAATTTGTGTTATCTTAAAACTATCTCAGCAATTTTCGTTCCATAAATTTAGGCTGTACCAGTAGACCTGCCATTCTGTATTCTGTACCTCTTCTTTTCCTCCCCAAAGTTGTACACACACACACACACACGCA